CGTCCCCGGGCGCCGAGCGCCTCGGGCAGCCCTGGCCGGCGAGGCCGTCGCCCCGGCGGGCACCCCCCGTCCCCAGCCGCTGGTGTGGGCGGGCAGGGGGCGGCGGGGGCCTCCGGGCGGCGGCAGCTCTGCAGCGGGCCGGTGTGCGGGGCTCCGGGCAGGGCTAGCGCTGCGGAGAGGGGGGGCAAGAACCGGGGATGTGTTCGCTAACTTCTGCCTAGAAGGGGATGCTTTAGGGGCCTCCGGAAGAAATCTTGTTGGAAACGCGTCTATAACCGCTTCAGGGAGGAAGCTTTTTGCTCCTGAATACTAAGTGGCAACTTTTTATCCTCCTTAATCACAAGGGAGGACATTTCTTCATTTCTTCCCATACATCTTAAACCTCCGCTCGAGCCGTACAACTACTGGTGTTAAGACCACTCCTATGATGCGCCTCAACCAGCCAGGTTATTTCCATAATTAAAAGCGACAGAGCTTTGCTTCAAGCAAAGATCTTTCCAGAGCAGCCTACAGCAACACCTCCACCTAGCATTTATGACCCTTCAGGATAACTTTGGACCCGTTACTGGAGTAATAACCAGTACTCACTTCCCTGGGCAGCACATTTTGCTCCTTGTCTTGCAGAAAGATTACTGCTGTCAAATGTCCCTGTTCTTCCGGCTCTCCGGGCACTTCCTGCACTCAGTGAACTCCAGCAAGGCCAATCTGTCAAAGACAGACATTTTAACTATTAAAAAAAAACCCCAAACTCGGATCTGATGCTTGCACCAGTCATGCTAGACCAATGATGGCACATCCTATTCAAACTCACAGCCAGGCTGAAGTCAGACAGCATTTTCCTTCTTTTCTAGTTAGCCAGCAATGCTCAGCAGGGCTCTGTGCCTCAGCCTGCACCTGCTGAGTGAAACGCTCTGCTCTGAGACGCTGAGCATGTATATCTATAAAGCAAACATTTCCTTTGGTAACAGCTGGATGCAGAAGCCCTGCACTAATGTAGGACATATACTCTATTTTATATTATGTTGTGGAGTTCTCTGAAATTTCCCTGGCTGTCTGGTGAGATGTGTGGTTCAGGGTTGGGGGGAGGCAGAGAGGGATAGAACATGCTATGTTCTTCCACCAAACTGAAGTGGCAAAGGTAAATATGTTTTCATTTAAGGTTATGGGCTGGATAGCATTCATGAATCTTCTGATCCAGTGGAAGCTGTAAGGAAATCTGAAGCAATATTTATTGGTAAGTTTTACTTCACGCTCCTTGATAAGGGTTTATATAGGGCACTGGATTAGTTTTGCTTAGAGCTGCACTGTAGAGACAACAATGAAAAATTATTAGAAACTACAGAAAACAGTACTTTAATTGAGACCCTAAACTTAGTGGTGGGAAGTAGGAGAGATTTAGTAATGGAATTTCATCTCCAGTAAGTTTCAAATATAGCCCTAATACCATGCTCCTGAGTATTAGAACAGCATCTGCTGTCAAACAGCCAGTGTCAGTGTTACACAAGGGTCTTGGGGCATGAGCCTGTGGCCTGCCCAATAACTATTCTTCTAAAGCTTCTGTTTTTCTGCTGCTCAAAGCAAGGTACTACCCTGAGTAGGGCATAGAAATCATCAAGCCTGCCAAGTCTGTAAAAGCTTCAATTAAAACTGGTGGTGAAAGCATGTTAAATAAAACGGACTCTTCTTCTGCAGGAGGTGGGAACACATTCCGTCTCCTGAAAGCTCTGTACGACAACAGTCTGATACAGGAGATCAGGAAAAGAGTTCTTGAGGTAAAAACTACAGGACTCGGGTCAAGCCTGAATGGCAGGATAAGCTTTTGTTCATACAAATCCAAGTTGATTCTACATCTTTGTTTTTAATATACTTCAAATATTGAGCCATCTCATACAACCTGGTGAACTGAAATAAGGCTGTCGCTAGTCACTGAAGCCTGAAAAGACTAAGGTCAGCAATCTGACCTTAGGACAGTTTCCCAGATACAGGGCTGCAAGACGTTGGGATGAACAATGCTGCGTAGTACCTTAAAAGCAAGCCCCTCAACTTAAAATGCCAACGAAGAGCAGCATAGGATTTAATCTATATCCAGAAATCCTGTTTTTCAGCTTGAGATGTCCACTTTGTATCTTGTTAATAGACACAGATCTGTGCAAGTTGTAGGTTGTCTGCTAATAAGCCAACAATAGAGTTGGATCCATACATGTCCTGTTGACGTTGAAAATGGTGTAATTACCTTGGGTACTCCTTGACCTGGAATAGAGAGGTATGAGTGCCAGTGAGCCCTCCTGGTCAGCAGCCCTATTCTGGCTGGTGAATCTTGTAAGCACAGCAAAGATATGCTATCCATATTCAGATGGTCTGCTCTCTTCAGAAGCTAGTTAAAAGCTAGTTCAGATATTTCCTGCAACTGCAATGTAGAGACGTCGCTCTTCTCTTAATAGTGAAGTCAAATATATGCACCAACAACCTTACCAGTTTTCTCTCGTGATAGGGTCACAGAGTTGGGAGTACAGGGCATTCAACAGTTAGTTCTCTGACAACCATGACATATGCAAACTATTGCCCACCTCAAAACCTGAATTCTTGTTCTTCTTTTCACCTGTACAGTTAGCAGTGAGATGAGCTAGAAGGACCAAATCTGATCTGTTTGCTGAGTCTCTGAGATGGCTAGAAAATACTGTAAAATGCAATTCATTGTTGTGATACTGCATTCTAATCATTGCTTTTGTCTTTCAGGATGGGATTCCTTACATGGGATCCAGCGCAGGAACTAACGTTGCTACCATCAGCATCAATACTACCAATGACATGCCAATTGTCTATCCACCTTCCCTGCAGGCCCTAGGTTTAGTTCCTTTTAATATTAACCCCCACTACCTGGACCCAGATGCTAAAAGCACTCACATGGGTGTAAGTAAAGCATGCCAGAGCTCACACAGTAACCAGGATGCAGAGGTGTAACGATAGTGTGCATTTGCGAGGCCTTACAAAGTTATAGAATGTCTAACAGCAGCTCCTTAGAGCAGTTGGAAGTGCCAGTGAGGCACCAACACTTTACTCCCTCCTAAAGCTTTTATTTGAGTGGGAAGAGGAGTTGGCAACAGTATTACTGATGTGGAACAAAGTGTTTTTCACAAACAGAAGCTGTGCAGTGTCTGAAATACTGTTGCTTCATACCTGGCTTTGAACTGGGGGGAGGGGGAAGAGAGAGAAACTTGAAATGTTAAGATGCAACACACGATATTTCTGGAAAGGTCTGTCTTGGCTGCTGCTTGAGACCTGACTTAAACGTACAATAACAGGCTTAAATATCTAAAGGTCTAAAGGAAACATCAGAAGAGGGTGATCTTAAGATTGCATACAGACTTCTTGTGTAAGAAAATACCTAGGCACTAGGCTCCCTGCAGAGAGCACACCCTGTAATGCCCAGTACTGAGCAAGCACATGCACTAGTACAGCTAAAACACTTTAACTACCAAGCACAAAGACTGACAACTCCACTGTGTGGAGGAGCTGATTTTTGAATAACCTGTCAAGAGCTAATTCCTCAAGGGAAGAGTTTCTGTGGTGCATCTTTTAACAGATCAAAAACTTTCCTCTCTGTAATCAAAATTTCTTCATGGTTAGAGGAAATATTAAGAATTAGGAGACACCGAGGAGATGGAGGATCAGAGTGTGCTTCTAGAATTTAGATGAAGTTGTAGGAGCACATTTAATCAGCTTGTCACTAGATAAGCAGACAGTCTTTTCCCTATAAATAACTTTCGCTATTTCTCCAAGAGGAGGCTGAAAGCTCTGTGCTGTATCAAGTCCCTGCTGTGTTCCTGTGTTTCCTTACCAACAAGTCCTTCTGGTTTGATTTCTTTAACTACTGTTGCTCAGTTCAGCAGCAAACCCTCAGGAAACATGGCAGAGCTGTTCACAGATGGAAATTCTTCAGTGTAATGCTTACTTGAGGACAAGCAATTTAATCAGCGGAAATTTGGTTCACTATCCTCTTTCATGAAGGTGGCATCTCATGCATTTGCTTCCACCATCTTTCTCAGTCTCTTGTTCAGAGGGTAGGCACACAGAGACAGCGTTTAATTAAAAAAAAAAAAAAGCTGGATGAATTGAGTAGAAGTAAGTTTTAAGGCTTTTCAGGGCTGAGATCATGCAAGTTCTGTTTGATCAACCTACAGCAATTGCTGCTAGTGATGAACAGTAAAATAAGTGTCTGTTAAAGTCAATACTGCCACTTCCTTCAATACATTAGTCTAATGAAAACATTCTGTTTGAGGGGAAGTGTTTAATGTTATGAAATTGGTTGGTGTCATGCTCTTTGGATAGCTCCAAGTCCTACCTTACTGCCTGGGCAGCTAAATCTACACTTATCATTGCAGGAGACAAGAGAGGAAAGAATTCGTCAATATCATGAAGAACCAAACACGCCTCCAGTTCTGGTGAGTAGTAGTTCCCAGTCAGGAAGCTCACGGCTGTAGCATGGTGAATATTTTAAATGCATTCTCACTAGCTCTCAGTGTGGGCTCCCCTGCCTGACAAGCCTTACAGAACTGTGGCATGGAAGGCTAGGTAGATCCTTGCTAAGAGCTTCAACCTTGGATTTTGCACAGTTGCAGAAAATGGGTTAGAAAAAATTAAACGCATTCTGCCAATTGGATGCCTGGAGTCCTGTTGCCAAATGCTGTATTTTAGGCAGCTCTGATTTTTCCAGTCACTGGCCCCCAGTCATATTTTGTATGTTGGGGGGGTGTACACGCAGATGGTAAGATACCATCCCTTCATCTTTTTGCAGATATTCTTAACTTTACATTTTGTTTTAATAATTGTAGGTAGCTCATTCAGTATTATGTTGGCAATTACAGTATGTCTCTCAGGGGAAGTGGGACCTCTGCATTTCCCCTCCCTGTGCTTAAGCCCAGAGCATAAAGTTTGTGCTTTAACTCACCCAGCTGCCTGTTGCTTGGCCCAGCCTGGATCTAAGGACAGTGGTAGCAGAAGCAATCGTGAAAAAAACCCCACATTTTCCTTTTCTCCTTAATGGTTTCTCCTTCTTTAAAAGGGGGAGGGGGGAACCCAAACCCAAACAAACCAGCTTATAAAATAAGGTAACTCACCTAATTTTGTCTTGACATCTTTGCTAGAACTATGTGAGCAAGAAAGTCTTGTTTGTAATCACGGCGAGCTGCACTAAGACTGGCCTGCTGGTGACAAGCATTCTAGCCTTTCAAATAGCTTGAAAATGTTCAATGTTTCCACCTACATTAGGGCTTGCGGGAAGGTGCGATGCTGCTAGTGGAAGGAGACAAAGCCACCTTGCAAGGAGTGACAGGAGCACGTCTGTTTTTGAGGTAAATCCTTCATTTGAATGGATATTCTCCTTCAGACAGAAAGGAAGAGAGACTTCTATTAAACTCCTAGAACATGCTGCCTTGTCCCCCACGTCAGAACTCACTTAATCCCTTGCTTCCATTTCTCTTTGGGGAAAGCACGAGTCTTGCTTTACGCTCCCAAGGAGCAGGCAGTATGACAGCACTCTGAAGGATATCCAACTTACCCAGTAAGTGCTATGGTATTACATCCATTGATGCTTGTGTCTCTGAGCTATGGTTACCGTTCACAGAAGGAGCCCCAGTTGTCAGCTCTGTTATTGAAGGCCAGGGGAATGCCAGTTTGACCTTAATGTGTTGAACTCTAGAACAAGGAACTTATGAATTTAGTCATACAAACATTACTAAGAAATCTAACATGTAGATATAACTTACGTTATGTCTAATATGTCCCGTGATGCAGGCAAGGAAGGGAGTCAAAACTCTGCTTGTTATGAGTAAGGATGCCTTGTTGTATCCCTAGTAACAGATGGAAATGCAGTAGTCCTAGCTCCTGTTAAAGCTCACAGCACGGTTTGTCTTGTTTACAGGGGTAAGAAACCAACTGAACATGAGCCTGGAACAGATTTCAGTTTCCTCCTGATTGACAGTAATCTCCAGAACCTGTAGCCTTGCATACTCTGCAGCAAAAGTCGCTATACGGGAATACAACGAAGAGGAAGAAAAGAGGTGCTTCTAGTCCTGGGGAGAGTGGAGAACCTTAGCTTTATAAATAAAGACAAATATGCATTAGTGGACTCTTTTCCCCACCCTAATTCATCTCTCAAACCTCTCTCCTTCCCAGTAAAAAGGCAATTTTTATTGCAATACTTGAGTAATGATAGCTATTCTTAGTCTGAAAGGGTCTGTACGTTCATATATCCACTTTTGATTTCTTCTCCACCAAAAAAAGTTACTTTAACACAATTAAGACAGAACACTGGATCAGCTGTTCCTGCTGCCTAGCTTTACCTGTTAAATGAAAGAATTGTTCTTTTAATGTATTTCCACAGTATTAGTTTAATTTTTGCACATAATAATAAAGGGAGATTTAATGCATTCAGTTACTTTTATTTGCTTCAGACTCATGTTAAATATATACAATGCTAATTATGTACAAAAGTGTGCATGTTAAAAATTGTCAGGTTACAAACTTGCAAATCCTAGAAAAGTGCAAAATTTTAAAACATCTTCCACCATGCTGTACAGAAAAAAAATCCATCATTAGCCAATATACACACTCTTAAAACATACTGATCAAAACAAAATAAGACATACAGTATACTCTTAAAGCACCCAGAAGGGAAAAAGATATTGCACAGAAGACTGACAGCAAGTTCATTACAGTGCCTGAAGGCTCATTTTTGAAAGTAGGTATTTCCAACACTCCTCAGAACTAACATTTAGCTCTTTAAAAAGGCATTTTTTGGCATTTAAAAATCCATTTGTAATGACATAATTGCACAATCTGTAAGAATTATCAGAAGATATGATTAACTGTTGCTGTAAGGCCTTTGTTTCCACTCCCCCATTAGTGTTAGTAAAAATTCATCAAGCAAACTGAGTAGCATCACAGCTTCCACCAAAACACTGACCGAAGTCTTAAAAGCAGCATTTCTTATATTCTTCCATATCTTATATTACATTCTCCTGCATAGTGAAGGGTTGAATCAGAACACGTATTGCAATTTTTCCTTGAATTGTTTTTTCTCCTCATGGCTTTCTTTAAGCAACAGCCCACAGCTATGTATGACTAAATCAGTACTGTCAGGTGCAAGACTAAGTTTATTTTAAAAAGTTACTTGAAGGCAAAAAAATACAGCTCCCTCAAGAGGAAAATACTGTCTACATAGGAAGCTAAATAAACAAGTGGCCTCTAAATTCAGTTAGATCTATTATATATATGGCTGGATGTTTTATATTTCAATCTCAAAACCCCTTAGCAGCTTTAAACCATGATCTATACTGACAATCATCCTTCTGGGACAGAATACATATTATGAAATTGTTTCTGTGCAGAGTATAATCACAGACCTAAGCTCTGGAAATACTTGCCAAATTTCTCAAGTCCAGTAGACAAAAATAGAAAGAACACACAACTGCAGGTACTCTCTCCTGAAGAAAAGAAGTGAAACACCTATTTTATCTGGGCCATTTGGGTAAATGGTAACTGAAAGAAAGATGCACCAGTTTTGTTCCAGAGATGCACTGCAGTAAGGTGAATTAAAACTGAACACAGCATACCTTTGATTAAACACTACAAGCAATTCCTCGCATATGCAGTAAGATGAACAGCATTTGACTCAAACCGCAGAGCATGCTCTGCTGCCACTCAGAGGCATTTCTGCATTCAGGCATCAGATGATTCTAACAGTGAAGAAGAGGACAATAGTATTTTACCAACCTTTTTTTTTTTTTCTTTTTAAACTGCAGTAGCTTCTCAGAAAACCCTTGCTTCCTTTAAACGTATATACTGACAAGGGCAATTAGTAATAAGGAGAATTTGCTTGGGCTGGAAGGAAAGACATCTTCCAAACACTTCAGTTGAGCCTAACATTGGTATACAATAAACCCATGTGTGTATGACTGCACAAAACTACTACTCTCCTCAAAGGGAGACTACTGACAAGTGTTATGTTCACAGCTGAAACCGACATAGCTTTTAAAACAAAAAGCATGAAAAGCTCATTCTAGAAAGCGCATGCTTGAATTTCTACCCACTTAAATATAACCCTATGTAGTGCTTTCATCTAACAGAATTTATTGGATCAGCCTTAAGGTTCATGTTTGGATATGCATTTATATGTGCTTTTTTTCTTTCTTTAATTATTTGGAAAAAAAAAAATATCCACAGCACCTAGCCTCAGTATCTAACCTAGCCAGCAACATGCCTTTAAGGCTGGAAGACAGGAGTGCCTTCAGGTGACAATACAGAGCAAGTGTTTATGTAGACTCTCAGCGTAGGAGCCGAAGGAGGCTGACACATCCTCTACTCCCCTCCCTAGCTCTAAGGCTCCCTACCATACCATAATCTGCATAAAGATACACACTTTTCAACTAAGTATACATATAGAGTAAAAGCTTTGTGAAGCATTTGGTTGCTGTACATGTACGTTCTAATGATTTTGTAACTGAGACTGGGAAAGACTTGCAGAGGAAACAGGGAGGAGGGAGATGAGGTCTTGGGAAGTGAGGTATACAGCTCCCATGGACTAAGGCAAGAGGTAAAAGACCTACCTAATTATTGTGCATTACAAATAAAAATAAAATCATCATTCCTGCATCTTAAAGCAGACTGGTGCAGGACTGTTACCAGTCTCACACAGAATTTTTACAGTGCAGAAACTTAGTTCTTTGTACTTCATTTAAAGGATACACAAACATTACTTTAAAGAGGATCCTTAGAAAGCAATTGATCGGACTACTTAAAGCCTGCAAAGATTTTAATAAACCTGTTTCGTGATAATATTAATTATCTAAGATATATCAGGGGGGAAAGCTTGTTTATATCAATGTTGCAAATTAGCAAAACAATTGTGATGTGTGTGTGTGTATGTGTTACCACTTTTGGTTTCTTTGCTGTTTTGGTTTTTTTTTTTTTTTCTTTTTAAATCAAACAGGCTTCCTAAAACCGAATTTCCACAATGTATATTAACCATCAGGAGAAGTGCAGTTAGTTTAGGGTTGGGATTATTATATTGTGCTGATGTTGGTAAGGCACATAGATGATAGAAGATCTGGTTTCTAGATAGCCTGGGAGTATTAGATAACAATTATATTGATATAGAATGATTCACATAAGTCTGATGCTAATCAAACAGCAAACATTTCACTTTCTGAATGCTCGTATAGTACAAAACCTGCACAGACTAGATGAGATTCTTCACTATCGATAAATAGACAACTAAAATACTACCAAGAATTAAGTAAATTGATAAAGAGAATCTTAAATATTTTTCTTGAAATAAACAAGAGACGCCTTCTAAATATATCCTTTGGTATGCAAGTTCAAAACTATGCTAGGGAGAAGTTACTCAACACTGACAACTACTTGATCTCATTTATATACAGGTATGAAAAGAGAGTCAGTTTTCAGGTTTTTTTAGATACATATATACATACACTCCTATTTACTTACTCAGCTTCAAAGGTAAGCATATCTTAAACTTTGATAAATATCATTAGGATTATTCCAAAAATTAAATGTAAGAAAATACCAAACAAGAAGATCTTAAATGCAGTGTTATGAAACAACTGTCATTTTAAGACTTATTTTATTCTGAATTCCTAATCAGAATTCTCTGATCTCACAGCTTTACTTTTTACACTTAAGTAAATCTTACTTCAAAACCAAAGGAGAACCTTATTTCACCAATACTATGTGAAAAACAAAATGTCATCCTAAGCTTTATTGACTTGAGAAAATCAAAGAATTATGGAAGTCAATTCACTGATTCACAGTGCACTGCATAACAGACTGCAATTCAACCAACCTAAACAGCTGATGAGAAAAAAATATTTACTACTTTTAATAAGACTTACACAAGTAAGTTAAAACCAAAAGAAACAACGTACCAGCTAATGCTCACACCTACCACCTATATCTTTTTCATGAAACTGGTTTTAGACAAAGGTAAAGTGCAGACCTTCAAACCTACAGGGTTCTTTCCAGAGGGCCTCTGGCAAGAACACCAAGCGTGTGACAGTGTATACCTCCCATCCGCAAGGACCAAATCAAAAGGCAAAGGATGTCGCCATTTTGTGTAGAATATGTAGCCACTTAAAGCTCACCTGTTTCCCTCCTGCTGCTGCTTTGTGCAGAGCACAAACAAGCCTCAAGTTTTAGAGCCCAAGAACCATCCACATTTCAACCTGTCCTGGGTATTTGTGAAGATGGCCTAATGCTTGTGATGCACTGAAATGATGGTATTCAAATGTCAAAGCTCTGCATCATGAACACTTCCAATTATGCATTATGTTTTACTTGAACTGACACAGTGTATTCAGTATTCTTTAATACTAAACTGCTAAAAACAAATTCAACTGTTGTATAAACATACCTAACCCACAGCAGGATATTTTCAAAGCTTTATGCGAGCCCCTCTGTGCAAGTGACAAAAAGAACACTATGCTCTCACTAAACACTAAAAAAGACCTATATCCTCAATTTTTCCACTTGAATCTGCTTGCCCCATACATCACAATTTCCTGCCCTCTTCCCCTGCAAGTAAACACTTAACCTCATATACGCATTTAAACAGAACATATATGCATACTTATAAAACCCATCAACTCAATGCCCAAAATGAGGGTTAACTTCCCGTAACACAGCAAAATCTCATATTCTGAGCTGAAATTCTTCTGAACTACACTCAATAAAGCTCCCCTGAAATCCTTCATGAAATCATAATGGACAAACACACTTCACATTCTCATATACACACTTAATACTTCCAGAGTATCCTTCCTGGATTGCTAAGATTAAAACCAGTATTTTTCATTTCTCTATAGTTTATTTGAAAATATGGGATATGGTTTTTGGTTTTGTTTTGGTATTTTTTTGGTTGGGTTGTTTGGTTTTTTTGTTTGTTTTTGGTTTTTTTACATACATGGAGTCTGAAAAAAACCACACTGCTCTACTTTTGGAAATGCAATGCTCTCTTAGCAAATGACTGAAGGAGAAAAAAATATCTTATTTTCTCCTAAATTCTCATATGATCCAGTCTGTCACAGTGATTAATTAGAATATTGCAACTATGCATAGACCCACTTGTTCACTAGTCTGATTTATTATTTCATTTACAAAAATTAAGAAAAAGCAACACAACTTTCTTTACACAGCACACTGATTGGTCATTAAGAGCAATTTTTTTTTTTCCAGTAAAGAAATTGAGGGGGAGAAAACTGTTTTAATGAGACTAACAGAACTTTTAAAGATTACCCTTTTGCAGCATAAGGAGGTATCACTATTTCTACAAAGTTAATAAATATTGTGCTAAAAGTTAATGAAATGAGATTATACATTATGGAGTTCCTCAGGTAGTTCAACAACTCCCCAGC